CAAATGATTGAATGACTTTATGGCATCCCAAGATTTAAACAAGCTCTTAAAGATGAAGGAAAAATGTTGACTTGTCATTTCTGTGGTAAGCTTTTAGGTTGAGTTTTAAAACAAAGTGAATTCACATAGAGAAATATGCATATGCTATATTCCAGACCTCAATCTGTGCAGAGAAAAATCTCTGACACACTTTTCCAGAGGCTTTGGGAAAGAGGTTTCAGAGAAGAATATGGGAACTTGGAAGAAACAATAAAGTTAAATGATCACATGCCTGGAAGTTAGAAAACCTGGATTCTAGATTTTATTTCCAACATTCCATAAATCATTCAACTGCTCTGAGCTTACACCAGGGTTTCTCAAAAGCAGCATTAATGACATTTTGGACTATTTATCTTGCAGGGGGAGTATTTCTGTGTTTTGTAGGGTAGCATCCCTAGCCTCTGCCCACTAGATGCCAATAGTACCCCTCCCCTTCTCCCACATCCCCCTCTAAATATGACAACAAAAAATGTCTCCAGGCATTGCCATATGTTCCCTGAAGGTCAAAATCCCTGCCAGTTGGGAACTACTGCCTTTCAGCTTAATTCCGTGACAACTGCCCTACTGCCAACTAGCAACCTCTTCAATATTTTCCACATTTCTGCAGACAGCCCAATCTCTTGAGTATTTTTAAACAGTGTCTTATACACATTATACATCCTCCAGGTTCTGATTTCCCTAATTAAAGGTGTAGAAATCGGTTTGTACACATACTACACAGAGACAGGTTTAAAAGTTGATCTCTAACCAGAGATGAAGTAAACAAATGACTGATTGTAAAATACGTTACAAAGGTTCCTCATCGAAAGCATAAGCTCTATGAATGGTAAGGGAGGACTCACTAGACCTTATTTTATGCTAATATAATCATGAAAGGACCTGTCAAAAACAATTGAGAAGGTCAACATTTCCTTGGCTTTCTCATTTTCATTGTTGAAATGTGTTTCTCTGAAATCCAAATGTAAACAAGCAAGCAAATGTTCTGATATGCATATTATATTTAGATGTGAGGAGCTTAGAATATATAATATATGCATTATATTCTACTAAATGTATTTTTGTAAGGGGACAGATATATTTGTTTCTTTCTATATTCAGGAAAACGACTTGCTTGCAGTTAAAAAAAAAAACTCACCTTAAATTCTATTGCCTCATCATGTAGTAGTTATGTGTTTAGCTTAACATAATAAGCTTAACATATAACGGTATCGTCTGACTGGTGTTGTTCGAGTATGGGTTTTGCTTTTACAGAGTGGTGGTGATGAAGTACACGGTGAGGGTGATGAAAACTGAAAAGAAGCA